TAAAAGAAAAGACAAAACATTACCATAAATGTTTTTACTTTTCCGGAAAGGAAAATATAATATTCTTCTATATTTGGTTTATTCTTTCCTTAGAGGAAAAAGTTGGAGATCTATAAATTGAAGATCCCTATTCTCATAACATAACACAATAGTATCCACAATGTAGACATTTAGAGAGTTTTGTTTATGAGAAGATTTTCTCTCTACAGTTTTTATTAGTTTTTTAATTATGTAGGTCAATTGCTCCTATCATATAATAATATTATGTCTTTTAGTATAGTTTTATGTGTCGTCTAATTTATCAACCATATTATTTGCAATTGTAAGCTTCCGCATGACGCCCTAATCACCCTTCATGACCTAACATGAGGATACATGATCAGCTCTTTTTTCTCATTTAGTAACGGAAAGAAGCTGGAGCTTAATTAACTTTACCTTTTTCATAGCCACATAGTATTTAGATCAATAAATTTTTGGACCAATCTGACATAGAAGTGATCAAAATATTGATTATGTCTCGCATTTGAGTTTCATTCTACATTATTAAAAGAGAAAGTCTCCAACAAACGTCACTTCTAGCATATTCAACCAAGAAGAAACATATTTCAACAAATAATATTTTTAATATCAAATTACATGAAAAAATAAATGGAAAATTGTCAAATTAAAAGATTTTGCATAATGTTATACTCAATTTCCAAGTTCACGATAGTATTTTTGGCATATCTAAGAATAATAATTACGAAGGGATGACTTGATTTTTATGGGATCTGTTAATTTTCTGATAAATTCAAGTAGAAGGATGAAAATTATTCACTTTTAAATACTTGAAGGATGTTTTCTGCAATATCTAATCCTAATATAACCTACTAATATAGTATTTAATTACATATCAATTGTAGGTGTGACTATGTGCACGTCAATTATATGTTATAGGGTATGTTGTATGTAATGGGGGAACCACCATTTCAAATGATATATGTTATATGTAATGACATGTTCCCGTCATTATAGAAAAGCCAACAAGGAAAAAATTTGGGTCGGAAAACTTTTTCGTAGTAACTTGGAATTTCCCAACCTAGTCCAGATTTGGACAAAATCGGAGTTTGTGAGGTCTAGGGAAATATGGTAGCAATTGGAGGATCTAAATATGAATTTGATCACATTAGTAGATAGATAAGACGTTAAGGAACCCGTATGACTTTACAAAATTGAATTTGGGCGAGTAGAACTCCCAAAATTGATCTTAGCGTGAACGGGTAGTTTCTGAGTGTCGTTGGTTGAAGGTATGTTGTGAAATAGGATCTTGGAATTATTAATTTTGCTCACAGTTACGTGCAAGCCGCTATAGCGGTATTTTCTGCCGCCAGGGCAGGGCCGCTGTAGTGAGTGAGGGCGATGTGGCGGGACAAATGCGACTTAAAGTAGGAAATAAACCCCAAAAATATTTTATTCTGCAATTTTCAAACTTGAGAGCTAAGGAACAAACCCAGGGCTTTTCTTGACAGATTTCACCATTCTTGAGGCTAAAGATAAGATTTTCACTCCTCGAATCCATTTTTCGATCCGTAAAACGTAATCTAATGGGTAATTATCGATGGGGAAGGGTTTCGATCTGGAAATTATGGTGGAAAAAGCCCTAATCTGGGTATGAGGATCATCATGGGTATGTCTAGGGTTGATAAGATTGTTGGTAATTCGGATAATTAGTTATTGTTTATTGATTCTCGTGTTATATTAATTGTTTGTAGACCAAGAACAAGCGGAATGAATTCGAAAAGGGAAGAATCAAGTTTCTTAGGGGATTCAAGCTTGTTTTGAGGTAGGTGATGGTTATGATTCTATGATTGTGTAATGTAGGTTTGTTCTTGCTTCATTATGATACATGTATGTATGTGAATGCTGCATTATATATTGATCACATTATTTGTAAATGAGGATGATTGAATAATTGTTGCCATGAAATCATGACTTGCTTGTATGATTATGAGAATATACTTGTGATTGTGATTGTGGCTTATTGAATGGATCGGTGTTGAGTTTCGACACACTAACTTGGATCGATTTCCATGTTCTGATATAATTATGAAATCGATTGCCACGTTCCGGCGCAATCATTGGATCGGGTACTACGTTCTGATATGCTAACAGTTTGGGTTTGGGTTCCATGAGAGCACCAATGACTAGATATAATTGTGATATTTGAGAATAGTGAAACTGTTCGTTTGTTCGTAAATATTGATGATATTGTATATGTTCGGTGTATGCATGTTATTATTATGTTGTAATGGCTTAAATATTGAGTACATGTCATCTTCAGGCGGCTATTGGTAGACCTCACTTAGAAAATCAGTGATCGTCGTTCGAATTCAAGAGTGAGCCAGTTCTTCCGGGCTGCCATGAGTTCTCTTTTTGTCTATATCCACATTTCAGACTTAGACTTTCTACTTAATTGTTAGTACATTAGTTTGGGGTTACGACCCTTCTTATTTAGATTTATGGATCTTGTTAGAGTTTTGGTACGTTGACTTTTAGGTTCTAGGTTTTACTTCTGCATTTGTTTAGTTGTTAGACTATTGATTTGGAGTTTATGGGAACTCTCTATTTCTTTACTTAGCATCTAACTTGCTTCTGTAACCTTAAATGCTTTAGTATTTTTTATTAAGTTGGTTAGCTAATTAGTATGAATGGTTCTCCCACCGAAGGGTTAGTGTGGGTGTCAATCATGATGGTCTAGGTCGTGACAAATTTGGTATCATAGCCTAGGTTCGTTGATCTCGATGTACCAAAACGAGTCTAGTAGAGTCTTGCGAAACGGTACAGAGACGTCGGTACTTTTCTTCGAGAGGCTATAGGACTTTAGGAAATGTCTATGTCTTCTCTTGTCTCCTTTCGTGCTATAACTTGATTCCAATTGGTATCTGCGATTCAAATTGGTATCTAACCTCCTTCACTCTTCTGTCCGCAGATGGTTAATACTATATTCAACGACGTCAGGCCCGTAGCTCCCGTCAATGCTCCAGCTGAGGAATCTGCAGTGAGAAGTCGCAGTCAAGACAGGGATATAGAAAGAGCTAGGGGTAGAGGCCGATGAAGGGAAGCACCTAATAAGGAGGGAGCACCAATTGGAGATGCTCCCAGAAATGAGACCCCTCCTACGCACCATGATGAGGTAGAGGAGAATGTAGAAGTTAAGGATGAGGAGAATGTTGGACAAGAGGAAGAGGTGTAGGCTGAGACTAAAAGTATTCATCTCATAGACTCAGTGTTAGCTCAACAGATCATGTCATTCTTGAAAGGATTGGTTGGTCCTGGAGTGCTCCCTTCTGTTCAAGCAACTCAAGCTCCTGCCAATCCCCATATTTCTATCACTGCGCCCAAGGTGGGTGGAACTGGAGGTAATGATGCTTTCTTCCATCCCATTTTGGGTCCTTTTATGACTGGTTATGAGCATGAGATATTGACTAAGCTCTTGAAGTTGAAACCGTCTTTGTTCCATGAATCTGAGAGTGAGGATGCATATGAGTTCATCCTAGATTGCTATGAGTGGTTTCATAAGTTAGGAATTGTCCATCAACATGGGGTTGAGTTTGTGACCTTTCAGCTTCAAGGTGAGGCTAAGCAGGGGTGGAGATCTTATGTGGAATGCAGATCTTCAGTTTTACTCCCACTTATTTGGACCTAATTTCATGCTCTGTTTTTAGAGAAATATGTGCCTCAGACTTTGAGAGATCACAAGAAGGATGAGTTCATGGCTTTGGAGCAAGGTGGTATGTCTGTGGCTGCTTATGAGGCCAAGTTTCATGCCTTGTCTAGATATGCTACTCAATTGGTGACTACTGAGGAGGAGAGGATCCGTTTATTTATTAGGGGACTAAATTCTGAGTTGTAGGTATTATCTGTTCATATGCAGGATGAGTTTTAATGAGGTAACATACTTTTTGAAGAAAGTGGAGGGGATGAGGTGAGACGGTCAGGCTAAGGCATTGGCTAAAAGGGCCAAGAACTCAGGTAACTTTCAAGGTTCTTATTCCAAGGGGTCAGGGAGACCAACACTTGTAGCCAGGCCAATTTAGTCTGCTATGCCCGCCTCTATAAGTAATTACTCGGGAACTCCATTGTCACACCCCAAACTCAAGAGGCGTAACTAGCTGAGTTTTTGGCTAAATTCATCCCTCAAGTATAACCCAAACTTAGAGGACATCCTCATGGTATAATTGTGACCAAAAAACATCCTTCTAGTATCCCAAAACTTACATAAGCATCCTTTATGTTAACTACTGTTAAAAACTAACAGAAAGAAAAACATGTGCCAAGCACATGACTTCCCCCAAATCCCCATATACTATACTATTGATTTCCTCCCAAATCTTGCCCGATCAGCTTCCAAAAACAAAACTTCATCTTCTTCTGAACTTAAGCAACCAGACAAGTTATTTTTCAACAGAAGAACTGAAGCTGGAGTTATTTTCTATCTCCTCTTTCCTTGCCTCACAAACAAGGTAAACGAAATAGTCATTGAAGAGGTTTTGGTTTTACCATTACTGTAGTATATTTGTTATTTCTCAAACTAAACATCGTTTTCATTCTCAATAACATTAGATTTTGTAGATTGAAAAACAAGAAACAATACGAAGAATGTTGGCTCGAAGTTTAACTGACAGATCTGTCACACCCAACTATGGTATTGTTGATATTCAAAACCTTTAAGCATTTGTTAATATCATATATAACAGATTTTTCAGTAACTTATACATGTTATGATATTAGTTTTATTGAACTTGTACTTCATTCTTGGCTTTATATATTTCATATTTTTTATATATAAGAAGAAGTTCTATATTTGTGTAGATCCTATTTCTGAGGCATCCCTTTTCACAATTAAAGTACATCATGGCGAATCATTTGTGCATGGTCCGACAAGAGGCTACATAGGTGGAAAAGTTATATTTTTTTACTATGTAAACAGAACAATGATAAGCTTATCAGATTTTAAAAATATGGCCGAACAATGTGGTTATGACAAGGAGTCTGTGGTGTTCTGGCACAAGTATGGTTTAACCCTTTATAAGGTTCGGTTAGTTGGTAGCAACATTGAAGTAGCTAAATTTGCTACTTGCATTCCAAAGGATAGAGTGATTGAGATATATTTTGAACATTTGAATTTCTATCATGATGATCATCAACATTGCGAGAAGACGGGAATGGATTCTTTGCCAACAAGTGATACAGAAGCAAATAGTGATGATTCTCATGATGATGATTTTGAAGATTTTGATTATTCATTAGAGGAAGATGATATATTATTTTCTAAATATATTGATCCTTCTGCTGAATCTTTTGGGATCAATATAAATCAGCGACATGAGAAAAATGATGAAAATCAAGATTATGTAAATGAAAAGATGCGGAATGTGGAAGGTGATTCAGATTGTGTAGATTCTGATGATACAGGGAGTTTAAATAGTGATTGCAATTTTGAAAATGAAGATTCTAACTTTCCGAAGCACAATCCAAAAACGAATGCCCTTAATCCCAAATTGGAGTTGGGAATGATATTCGGTAACAAGAAAGAATTCAAAGAAGCTGTGATTGCAAATCAAGCCAAAATAGGAAAGTCAATTGAGTGGATCAAAGATGACAGAAGAAGAGCAAGGGCCAAATGTAGGAAAAATGGATGTAACTGGAGGATATTGGGTTCATCGATGCAAAGGGACACATCTTTTCAAATAAAGACGTTTGTCCCCAAGTATACTTATTTTGGGTGGAATTATAACAACAAAAATATCAATTCCAGTTGGATTGCAAGGAGGTATGTTGATAGAGTTAGATCAAATAAGAATTGGAAAACATTAGAATTTAGAGATACATTAAGTAGGGAATTACGGCTACATGTAAGTATGCATCAAGCAAGAAGGGCAAAGGAAAAGGCTATTGTAATGATCGATGGAGATATAAATGTTCAGTTTAGTATATTATGGAATTATTGCAATGAAATTGTTCGAACCAATCTTGGGACTTCCGTTTTCCTGAAAGTAACTCCAAATGAGATACCTAACAAGTTGATGAGATTTCAAAGGTTTTATATTTGTTTTGCAGCATGTAAAGTAGGATTCAAGGCTGGTTGTAGGAAGATTGTTGGGGTCGATGGGTGTTGGCTGAAGGCCACCATGTATGGGGCACAGTTATTATCAGCGGTTACTTTGGATGGAAATAACAACATCTTTCCAATAGCTTATGCAATAGTTGAGAAGGAAAATAAGGAAACATGGTGTTGGTTTTTAACATATTTAATGAACGACCTTGAAATTGAAGAGCAATACCTGTGGACTTTTATGTCAGATAAGCAAAAAGGGCTCATTGAAGCTTTTGATTTAGTGTTGCCTGGTGTTTCTCATAGATTTTGTGTGCGACATTTGCATAGCAATTTCAAGAGAGCTGGATATTCTGGAATGGCTTTAAAAAATGCTCTTTGAAAGGCTGCTTCAGCAACAACTATTGACAGGTTTGATGTTTGTATGACTGATTTGTTTGAATTAGATAAAGATGCTTATGCATGGCTTTCTGCTAAAGTGCCTAGTGAATGGTCAAGATCACATTTCTCGCCTCTTCCTAAATGTGACATTCTTTTGAACAACCAATGTGAGGTTTTTAATAAGTTTATTCTTGATGCAAGAGATAAACCAATTGTTAAACTTCTGGAGACCATTAGGCACTTACTCATGACAAGAATTAATTCTAATAGGGAGAAAGCTGAAAAATGGAACTTGAATGATATTTGTCCTACTATTAAGAAGAAGTTGGCCAAAACTATGAAGAAAGCTGCTAATTATATTCCCCAAAGGTCGAACATGTGGAACTATGAGGTAATTGGGCCGGTCGAAGGTGATAATTGGGCTGTTGACTTATATAACAGAACCTGTAGTTGTAGGCAATGGGAATTATCAGGAGTTCCTTGTAAACATGCTATATAAAATTTATGAAGTTCCGATATTGCCTATGAATGGTCCTGATTTATGGCCGAATTCACAGAATCCTCCACTATTACCACCTTTATACTTGAAGAAGACAAAGAAAGGGAAGAAACAAAAACTAAGAAAGAAAGAAGATGATGAGCCGGGAGCTAGCAGGATGAAGTTAAAAAGGAAACAAAAATCAGTTTATTGTAAGAAATGTGGTAGGCCTGGCCATAATAGTAGAACTTGCACTCCTTCATCTGATGCCGTTGAAATTCATCCATCGGACCATCCTTGTAGTTTGGACTCCATCATGATCGAGAGAGCATCAAGTTATCATAATGTGGAAAAGCTACCTGTAAGAGTGTTCAAATATTCTCATCTAAATTTCAATTATTTAAGTTTTTTAATATAGTATATAAATGCAAATATGTAATATTTTCATTTCTTATTTCAGGTTAGAAAAGGCAAATCTCAAGTCGGCCATCAAAGTTACATTTTCCAGACATCTCAAAATGGCAGGAACGATTGAAGAAATTACTTCTTTTTTATTTATTGAGTTATTTTTGTTCTTGTATATCAAACTGCATTGAGTTTTTTTTGTTCTTGTGTATCAAACTGATGATATGCTACTGGTTTTGCTGTTCATTTACTTATTCTGTTAATTTAATGGTACTAGACTCTGTTTCTACTTATTTTTATTGGTTTTTCTACTGTTTTGCTGGTCTTTTCGTGTTGTTTTTCTTATGTTTTGCCAAACAATTTGTTGTTTACTATTGGTTTACCAATTTTTCCGTTGTATTGCTGTTTGTTTTTGTTGTTTTATGCTAGTTTGGTGTTGTTTTGCTGATTTTCTTGTTGTTTATATACTGGTTTATCAACTTTTTTGTTGTTTTCTAGTGTGTTGTTGTGTTTGGCTAATTTGGTATTGTTTTGCTGATTTTTATGCTATTTTTGTACTGATTTACCAGTTTTCATAATTGTTTTTCCTTGTTTTTAATTAGCTGCCTTGATGTATTCTTGAGTGTGCTTTTTGTGCAAGTTTTGGTCCTATTTTTCAGGTGAAATATTAGCCTTTTTTGTTGAAATGCTCAAGGTGGAAAAAAGAAGAAAAAACAAATGTTTTTAGGCAACTCAGAGTACTTTCATTGCGCTTGGCAAACACACAAGATACGTTTAATACGAAAAACTCAAAGCGAGACTGATCCAACATAAAACGACTACTTTTACTACAACTCCAAATTCTCGTCTTCTCTCTTTTCAAAGTGAGGCCAATCCTTCCTCTTATCGGCTTACTTCTTTTTCAGACGCGATGCATTTCTATGAGCGTTGTTTATCATTTCTCAACTAGGCACATTAGGCTTGTCTCGCTTCCTCTTTGCTCGCATAGGAGAATGGATATGTATGAGTTATATGAGCAGTCAATTTCAACCCTCAGTTAGGGACGCATTTTCTAAAGGTTAAACTGAAAGTGGGACAGAGCAAATTATTTTTCTGTACAAACATATGAAAGAAGAGTCTGCACGTGAGCTATTGTTTATAAAAAGATAAAGCAATCAATTTACAGTATCTGGAGACTTTGGGAGGAAAGTCATGTGCTTAGCACATGTTTTTCTTTCTGTTAGTTTTTAACAGTTAGTTAACAGAAAGGATGTTTATGCAAATTTTGGGATAGTAGAAGGATGTTTTCTGTTCACAATTATACCACAAGGATGTACCCTAAGTTTGAGTTATACTTGAGGGATGGTTTTAGCCAAAAACACTCTAACTAGCTCCTAATGCCAAAACTCAGGCCCGGGCCTACCCTGTTGAACCATTTGCTACTAGCGCATGGCAACCACACACAATCAAGAAAACAAACAAGTATATCTCGGCTTAAAACTAAACCCTCGGCCGGCAAGGCCCCTGTCAACTGATCTATAAAAGAAATAGCTACTCCCAGGAGATCATATAAATAAATAAATAGTCAACTAGCACAGAATTCCTAATTGGGTCGTCGAGGCCACCATGATATCTATACCAAAACTAAAGCATGTATATATTAATACAATACATCAAATAGCTCACAAGCTTCAGCAAACCAACAACATAGGCCAGTATGGCCATAACGTAGCTATACACCCCACACACTAGTTTGCAAGCCTCTAAGAGTAGTAAACATTAGCGGGACAGGGCCCCAACCTACCCATAAAGATATATACAACAAAAGGTAACAAACCTCCCAACTCTGGCAGCTCTGGAGGAAAGGGGATAGCCAATCGGAGAAAAGTCAATCCTGCTGCTGAGGAGGTCTACTCGGTCGTCTGTCAAGACCTGCATGCATGAATGCAGCGCCCCCAGGAAATGGGGCATCAGTACAAAATAATGTACAGAGTATGAAATGTTGTAGACTAAATGAGCAAGTATCATAATATACCAAAAGCAATCAGGTAAGGAAATCAAATTTAGATAAGCATGTCAACCCACTACTGAATCTAATAAAATACAATAATGATCAAACATCAACCTAACCAAGCCCACATAAGCCCGGTAGGTACAAACAACATACCACCTACTTAGGTCCCCCAAACACCCAGAAGGTGCCAAATCAATCTACATAACCTTATCGGTAGTCCCTTGTCTTTTTAAGAAGTCACATAGCCCTTTTTGGGAACGATATAGCCCCTTAGGCAGCGCATAGCCCTCTTAGGCAACATCATAGCTCTGTGGACTGCACGTAGCCCTCTTTTGCATCACATAGCCCTGTAGGCAATACATAACCTTCTTTGGCGTCAAAATAGCCCCGTAGGCAACACATAACACTCTTTGGCATCAATATAGCCTCATGGGCAACACATAGCCCTCTTTGGCAATAACAAAGTCCTATTAGACAACATCACAGCGCCCATAGGCAGTTCATAGCTCAACAGCTAACCACAATAGCCCCAAGGGCGACAACAAACAATTAAATAGGCTACAGGCGAGCAATTTATCTATAAATAATATATATGAGTAATGTCCAAGTCGTTCCTAACTTAGGGTTGTTCTGAACAGATTATGAGTCCCTAAAATGAGGGTTTATAACCACTCAATCAGCCAACCACTCATAATTACATCTACAACATAACTAACATTAACTACTCTATTATATCGCTCTCAAGCTCTAAGGAAACATGTCGAACGAAGGGAGTAGCCTTAACATACCTTTTCCTTTATAATTTATGCTGAAAACACCTTTGTCCACACTACTACAGCACTAAAGAAAAAGGTAAAATCAATCAGTAATTAAGGATAAAAATTACTACGACAATTCGACAATCGATACGGATTCCTATCGTAAACTACAATCCAAGACCTAAGGTATCCGTAAACTGATAAAAGGTGATTCCTACCTTTCTTTAAATGAACAAAACAGTTGAATACAATCACTCCACTGCAAAAAACCCTACTGCCATAACCTCCATGGAGCTACACCGCTTAATTCACCGTGAAAATTATACCAAAATGACGAGCTCACGACGTAGGGTAATTTTCTATAAAAAGCCAAGAAGAGATCATGAACACACAAGGATGATTTGAGGAGTATTTTTTCTGATTTTCATGGGTTTCTCACGATTTGGAGTGAAGAAAAATGAAGAAGATGCTATCTTATAAGCTTCCACCGACTTATGGGACCCACCTCACATGCCTGCTTGCACAGTCTCGCAAAAACGTAAATATCTCTCTATTCTAAAGTTGTATGAACAAACCATTTGATGTGTTGGAAACTACACTCGTAGACCTTCGATTTGATGAGTCGTGGGACCCATAACTCGTTATAGATTAGGAGAAAACTTCCAAAATATTTGACCCAAATTTCAGAGAAATCTTTAAAAAGGATTTTACGATAACTTTCGCCCACTTTTATTTTGCGATTTACCTTTCTTCTAAACTTGATATACAACCCTTGAACACTTAAAATATGACATACCACATCATTTTTAATTTATTACTCACCATTTTTGTCTTTCCACGAATGTGCGAATTAATTTAGACGTTTAGAAAAGTTGGGTTGTTACATCCACCTCATAATTTGATTCAGGATAGTCAGGGAGTCGCACCTTTGGCGGGCAACAGGCCTTCTTTTGATATTACACGTTAGAACTATAGAGAACCTGGGCATATGAGGAGAGATTATCCTCACCCGCGCATGTCGAATTCTGCGCAGTAGCAGTCTAGGGAAGTGGTACCAGCGGGAAATGGTAATAATGGTCGATAACGTCCACAAGGTGGACGAGAAGGTAATCAGTAAGGCTGTGGGATAGAGAAAATGGTAACGCATGCAGAGGTGCAGTGTAGCCAGGCAGGTAAGTAACTCGTCAAGATGATATGTCTCAATGTTATGCCTTTCCAGGCAAGAGTGAGGCAGAGGCGTCTGACGCAATGATCACAAGTACTATTCTTGTCTATGACCGGATAGCTAATGTGTTATTTGATCCGGGTTCTACTTATTCTTATGTATCCGTGCGATTTGCCTCAGAATTTGCTATGATTTGTGATATACTTAATACCCCCATCTATGTTTCTACCCCAGTTGGAGAGTCTGTCATAGTCACCCATGTCTATCGTGGTTGTCCTATTTTGTTTATGGGTTTTCAGACTTGGGATGATTTGGTGATTTTGGATATGATTGACTTTGATATACTCTTAGGCATGACTCGGTTGTCCCCTTATTGTTGACACCCAATTTTGGACCTCCACAATATATATTAATCATCGAGTTTCTTAAATTCCAAACGATTTGAAATAATTGACTTTGTAAAGTTCAAAATGTTTTTCAAGTTACTTTTAATCAATTTCATCATTTTTATAATTTTTATGTAATATATATGTTTTATATAATTTGTATATAATTAGTATATTTTATAAACATTTCGAAAATCATCTCAAAAAGATTTTAAACTTTTAGTAAGTATTTTATTAAATTAGTTTAGTATAAATTATAGTTATAATTTCGAGTTATTTAAATTAGTTAGTTTATAATTAAGTTAATTATTTTA